TTCTAGCCCGATACTCCCAGCGGCTCGAGACAGCATGGCCGTCAGCTCGGGATCTGACACGGGCAACGCTGGCACACCCGAAGGGGGCAACGCAGCCGCATCTTCCTCTCCCGAGGACTCAAGCCCGCCTAGTGATGCAGTGATAGACATCACATCATCATCTGGAGCGCTGCTAGAAGCAGCCGGCGCCGCCGAAGAGACAGCCGACTGAATCGAGCTGGCGCTCGCTGGCTCACGCACTGAGGCGGGAGGTGTGGCCCGAGGAATCATCGGGGCTCTATCCCACACCGTCACCGTTAGATCGCCGGGTCCCCGGGTCGACGGGCCCCCTTTCGTGAAGGAAGCCGATCGAGTAGGGGGGACCGGGGCTCTCGCTCTAGTGAGATCATTGAGCCTCGACCTCAGTGTGGAGATGGTCATGCTCCCACAGAAGGAACATGAGTCATCCACGAACGCTGCTGCTGCATGCTGAATGCCCAGGCATACAAAGCAGCGTTCGTGACCATCAGATGATGACAGAAATCTACCACATCCAGAAGGGCACGGGCGAACCATCTTTAAAAAGACGTGCCGCGTGCAGCTCTTTCACTTTCACTTTTATGAGAAAGGAGAAATTCACTCTTTCAGCGCTGAGGCTACCAGGGAGAAGTGCAAAGTCTGGCAGACCACTGCTCAGATCGCAGGCAATGCAGAATCTCGCTGGGTACCGCCGTCACACCAACACTGAAGAGGACGCTCGTTCTCGAAGAGTCTTGAATCAGCTTTTAGGAGTGAAGAGGTTCTCTTGGCTCCTCAGCGAAAACATACTGCGGTTGCATTCACTTCCTCCTTTTATACTCACGGAGTAGGGCGGAGTACGCTATGCAAATTTCCGCAGCCCCAAGGCATTGCATGCCATTGGCTCGTGTTTAAATAGTCGAAGAGGATTGGCTTTCTATGCGAAATCCCCCAATCTCCGTCACTTCTGACGTAACTCGAAGTGACTACGAAAGGGAACTGAGTGTTTTCATGAGAAACCGAAGATACTGACACCCTTTATTCTACGGAATTGCTCTCATCTGGGCATAGACTCAAAAAATCCCTTTGGCGTGAAGAAACATGTACAAAAAAATTGTTTGTCCCAATGGCAGTGATTATCTTAAATCGTAAAATTTTCTAAAGTGATGCAATAGAATGGCTGGCATTATGTGTTTAATTGTAGAATTTTGTGTCGTTAATGTGTGATGTGTTTAAGCATTAATGTGAATGTATCTATGTCACCAGCGTCAAAGACAAATTTCTGCTCTGTTACAAACAGAATGGACAATAAAGTTAATCTCAACTCAAACTCACGGACATCCTTACTCACAAGTAGGAATGTTTTTTTTTCTCTAGTCAGGTAGATGCTCAGACAACCTTCTGAGGTGTGAAGGCTGGAGAGGAACTCTCCTCTGAGGGTGGGGTCATAACTGTACTTCTGGCCAAACACGAGTAACAGGAGAGATCATAAAATTCATATCTGACCAAACACATGATTGACATGGGTGTTTTTATAAACCATCACTGGTAGAGGAGTCATAAATAGACAGTCAAAAAAATGTTAAAACTACTAGAAATCGAATCAAATATCTGTCTTCATATTTGGGGAAATATAATGTTATCGATTTCTACAAAAACACATTATGTCCCATGCAAGCTAGACCCCCATGAGTGACAGCTTACTTTAGGCAACATTTGCAGCCCTGTTGCTACATAGCACTTCAAGTTAGAAGTTAGAAGTTAGATGGCATTGTTTCTCAGCATGAGAGGGCAACAATATATATATATATATATATATATATATATATATACAGAAATAATGAAATGAAATCCCGAATATATAGTTAAAACTCCGAATATATAAATGTAATCCTGAATATATAGTTATAACTCCGAATATATAAATGTAATCCAGAATATATAGTTATAACTCTGAATATATAAATGTAAATCTGAATATATAAATGTAAATCCTGAATATATAGTTATAACTCTGAATATATAAATGTAAATCCTGAATATATAGTTATAACTCTGAATATATAAATGTAAATCTGAATATATAAATGTAAATCTGAATATATAAATGTAAATCCCGAATATATAGTTATAACTCTGAATATATAAATGTAAGTCTGAATATATAGTTATAACTCTGAATATATAAATGTAAATCTGAATATATAAATGTAATCCTGAATATATAGTTATAACTTTGAATATATAAATATAAATCTGAATATATAAATGTAAATCCCGAATATATAGTTATAACTCTGAATATATAAATGTAAATCTGAATATATAAATGTAAATCCCGAATATATAGTTATAACTCTGAATATATAAATGTAAATCTGAATATATAAATGTAAATCCTGAATATATAGTTATAACTCTGAATATATAGTCAAAACTCTGAATATATAAATGTAAGTCCCGAATATATAGTTATAAATCTGAATATATAAATGTAAATCCAGAATATATAGTCAAAACTCTGAATATATAAATGTAAGTCCCGAATATATAGTTAGAATTCTGAATATATAAATGTAAATCCTGAATATATATTTATAACTCTGAATATATAAATGTAAATCTGAATATATAAATGTAAATCTGATTATATATAGTTATAACTCTGAATATACAAATGTAAATCCTGAATATATAGTTATAACTCAGCATGTGAGCTCCTCTCAATATTCCGCTGTATCCCAATGCGCTCCACATTGTTGGGGGCTTTTACTATTTTGCATAGGTGGCCTCAGCACAATGTTTGTGTGATAATAGGCCATTCTTTAAACTTTATTATTTTCAGAAAGATTGTCATGGATACAGAGACAGTTGAAACAAAGGCAGATCTTTATTTTACAAAAGCACAAGGTGTTGGTGTTATTGTGAATGTACACAAAATAAAAGTAGACCATATGTTGTTGTCTTACACACTAATCTGTATGGCCAAAATGTTAGAGTTTCTTCCGTTGTCATTAAAGAAAAATCTATCAGAACGTGCTGGTGCGTTCATTGTACAGGGTTAGAGAAACGTTTTTTTAGTTAAAAGCCCCCAACAATACCTTAAAAATAATCAACAAAGGCTATAGTACAGTAGCCTACGTTACACTGAGATTTCATGTGGGAGCTGGATTTGAGCGCTTGGGCCGTGAGCGACTGAGTGGAGCGCATTGCGATACAGCGGAATATTGAGAGGAGCTCACATGCTGAGTTATAACTATATATTCAGGATTTACATTCATATATTCAGAGTTATAACTATATATATTCAGGATTTACATTTATATATTCAGAGTTATAACTATATATTCAGATTTACATTTATATATTCAGAATTCTAACTATATATTCGGGACTCACATTTATATATTCAGAGTTTTGACTATATATTCAGGATTTACATTTATATATTCAGAGTTATAACTATATATTCAGGATTTACATTTATATATTCAGAGTTATAACTATATATTCAGGATTTACATTTATATATTCAGACTTACATTTATATATTCAGAGTTATAACTATATATTCGGGATTTACATTTATATATTCAGATTTACATTTATATATTCAAAGTTACAACTATATATTCAGGATTACATTTATATATTCAGAGTTATAACTATATATTCAGGATTTACATTTATATATTCAGAGTTATAACTATATATTCAGGATTTACATTCATATATTCAGGATTTACATTTATATATTCAGAGTTATAACTATATATTCAGGATTTACATTTATATATTCAGAGTTATAACTATATATTCAGGATTTACATTTATATATTCAGGATTTACATTTATATATTCAGGATTTACATTTATATATTCAGAGTTATAACTATATATTCAGGATTTACATTTATATATTCAGACTTACATTTATATATTCAGAGTTATAACTATATATTCGGGATTTACATTTATATATTCAAAGTTATAACTATATATTCAGGATTACATTTATATATTCAGAGTTATAACTATATATTCAGGATTTACATTTATATATTCAGATTTACATTTATATATTCAGAGTTACATTTATATATTCAGAGTTATAACTATTCAGTATTACATTTATATATTCAGAGTTATAACTATATATTCGGGATTACATTTATATATTCGGAGTTATAACTATATATTCAGGATTAAATTTATATATTCGAAGTTTTAACTATATATTCGGGATTACATTTCATTATTTCCTGTTTGGCCCCCCATAATATATATATACCCATAATAAATAAATAAGAGTTAAAATTGGAAAGGTTTTTATTTTATTTTATTTATATGTTATTGTTTCTTCTAAGACATATGGTTAAAAAAAGTCAACAGAAAGTAGTGTTGATAAATACTAAATTTGGTATTGCATCAGGGATGGACTTGACTTGGTCCTGGTCACCAATGCACAGGGCAATGTTAAAATCAAGATGGAAATAATCATGATTTCGCTTTGCTGAAAATACAGATTTATGTTAGACACATATCCTATACACTCTGTCACTAATTACATAAAAATGTGTTAAATATTGTACATTTTAAAATGTTTTCACTTTTATCAAACATTTAAATTTTTAATAGAAAGTGCATCATGATTATAAAGTGAAATAAGGTAAGCCCTTGCCACAAAGCAATTTTTAAGACTCAATGTGACCATCATAAATCAAGTCACAGTCTGTTGTATAATTAATACTTACAAACATGTTCACATGAACAGTAGGCTTCCTGTCAAGTCAACATTATTTGTATAGTACATTTCACAATAGTTGTTTCAGTGGAGCATTCCAGATAATGTGTGATGACAAAATTCCAGTGAAAAGCCAATCAAACAAAAGATCAGCAGAGGATGGGTTGTGAGAAAACAATGAATGCAACTGTGAATTGATGAAGTTCCATGTTGTTTTACAAGTTGGCCCTTTTGATGCGATCACATGGTATTCCAATAACGGCTCAGGTCATGTGATCATGGCCACATAAATAGTGAATCAGAATCAATCTGTGAGTCAGACTGCCTGATAATCCATTATTTTTTTTACTGAGGCTTTGATGACCAGCACACTGCAGCAATGTCAATGAATATGGGATGGAAAGACGAGGAGGACGCCACTCCAGATATGCAGAAGTTCTGCAATGAGGTAGGAAACAGATCATCCAACATGTATAGATTGCTGAGCAATATGAGTCCACAATTTTAATTAAGGTGTGCTCTAGGCGAAGAGAACTCGCAAACTTCACTAGACCTTTAAACAAACTATATATTGGGATGTAAACTATCAACTGAATGAAAATAATAAAAACAGGTGGCTCTGCTTGTAAAAACATTTTTTTTTTCCAAAGACATCCATAAACCATATTTCAGTTGAGTAGAGAAAGGGCCCAATTCATTGGTTTCAATTTCAGATATTTTTTTACTTCCCATACACCAAACAACAACAAAAATCAGTTCTTTGGAGAAAACAAAAAATCGTACAAACGTACAATCTTTATTGTGTGCTCGTCACTATTGTGTTTATGCTATGTGTAAATTTTTATTCAGTTAAACATGTTTTTTTCACAGTTGGTTTTGACAATTATACTAAACTAAATCTTATTGTATGATATGATATATAAAAAGAGTGTATAAATCTGTTTCAGGTAAAGACAAGCATAGAGAAGAAGCTTGGGAAGAAGAGTATTTTCACTGCCATCAACTTCAGAGCAGTTGACACTAAAATACATTACATAGCCAAAGTAAGTTTTATTATTTTATTTTACATCCCTTTAGCTCAAACAGTAGAGCACAGCACTAGCAACGCCAAGGTCATGGATTTAATTTCTAATGAATGAACTGATAAAATGTACCTTAAATACAATGTGAGGCACTTTGGATAAATGCGTCTACCAAATGCATAGATGCAAATGTATTTTAAAAGAGTATGGCTGGATCTGAGCCTGTGAATTCACCACACTCAAGCTGCAGTTTTTCTTCCATCTACTAATCATGTTACAGTGTGAAATCAATGTGACGGCTCTCTCTTTCTCTCTCAGGTGTATGTTGGAAACAATGAATGTGTTCATGTGAAAATGTCTCAATCTCTCCCTTGCTATGGAGGGGAAGTGAATCTGGATCAGTTCCAGTATCCCAAAAATAGAGAGAATGAAATCGAACCCTTCTGAAAACTTCTGAACACATTATTCAGTCCTCACGGAGAGACTCATACAACACTTTTCAATAAAGTCTTGAAGCACAACTTTCTTTGGTGTTACTGTCTTTACTGTCAGTTTGATCTTCTCCCTACATGAAACTTAAAATGCAAAGAATAAATTATGTATATGTAAAGATAAGTAATGAAACATCTGTATTCTTTGACAGTATCTAAATAATTCATAACAAGAACTCTCACTGTGACCATCTATTTTTTATAATTTATTTCTTCAGCTCGAAGAAGCTGCAAATACCTCACTTTTTAGGGGTTTGCCAAATGATGATCCATGTAGTTTTTCTTTTTCTCTAAAGCTGCTTTGAAACAATGTATATTGTGTAAAATGCTATATAGATAAAAATAACTTGACAAAAAAAACAAACAAACACGATTAACAGTATTGAGGAGGGTATGAATGTTATATTTTTGTCTGTGATAAATGGTGTGCTAAACTTTTAAGTGGTTATATTCCATTGTTAGTCAAAAAGACTCCTTAATGTAGAATACAAAGATTTTTGTGATACATTTTATCTTCACTGTTCAAGTAGAGAGAGAAAGAGAGAGAGAGAGAAAAGATGGACATATATATATATATATATATACAGTATATATATATATATATATATATATATATATATATATATATATACATGCTTTGCATCACAGAAATACATGATATTTTTTAAAGTATATTAAAATAGAAAACAATTATTTAAAATTGTAATAATTTTTTATGTATTTTGGATCAAATAAATGCAGGCTTGATGCGCATAAGGAACTTCTTTCTTTTTTTTTAAATAGTAATGTGTGTGAAACTTTTGACCAATAGTACTATTGCTTTTGACTATTGCTGCAAAATTATAAAAAATGTTTAAAAAAAAAATGAAGTCACCATTTGTTGTCAGCCTACACTTAACATAATAGGCCTGTAGGCCTGGGCCAGGGGTCTCAAACTCAACTTAACTGGGGGCTGTTTGAGACATTTCCTTTTATTATACTTAGAAAAACAATATTTTTTTTTTTGAAATACAGATAATTCTTTCTACACATGGAAACTGAAGCCTCTCTGGGGGCCGCCATTGTAGCTGACTATCACCTGCTGTTAGCATTCCATTGACTCCCATTCATTTTTGCGTCACTTTGACAGTGAATAACTTTATATCTGTGGCGTTTAAAGACTCCATTTGTCTATTTTCTAAAGAAACACAACAATATATAAAAGGCTCTATTACCTTGTATCTTTCGTTCAGTTAAGTTTCAGTTTTTGTAAAAATAGGCTAACGATTGCGTCATAACACACGACTCTCTGTCGAACAATAGAGAAATTACCGTATAGACAAAAGTAGAAGCTCGCGCACAATCGGGGGGATGTGGAGGCATAAAGTCAAGGTAGAAGCCCTTAGATAGTCATAAAGTTGCTCCTGCTGCGAGCTCATGGACAGCTAATACTCACGATCTCCAGCTCTGCAAGATTCGGAAGAGAATGATTCAGATTCCGCTTGGCACAGCTACTAGAAGATGTACAGTCAGTCAGGTTGCTCACATACGTCATCAAGCTCAGTTTGAGCCTGCATGCGCAGTACGCTTGGCTATCAGGAAGTGAGTGCTTCTATTGGCCTTCAATTCTCTCCATTGATATCAAGGGGGTCGCTGTGTCAATTTATTTCACTTTCTATGGGTTAACCTCATTAGTTCATCTGTCACACCTGATTCCTTGTTAGTATATTAGTTAGGGTATTGCACAAAAGTAGAATTAAGAAAGCCAGGATAACTGAACAGTCGCGGTTTGACCTGATCAGTGCATCCTGGCTTAATCCGTTGCACGTTCGCTGAGCCAGGATGAGAACGCACGGATATGTCAAGCCAGGTGTATATAGTTTGGATAAATGTACGTTCACGGCATTCTTAAAAAGAGCGCGAAATCGATCACAGAATCACCGATCCAAAAATGGACAAAACGCGTTCGGCATACTTTTCACCTGAGCAACAGCTTCTTATGGAAACGTATGAAGAAGTGAAACATATAATATGTAAAAAAAGCCAATTTTTTACATATTATATGTAAAAATGCTGTAATAAAATAAAACAAAGAGAGAATGCCTGGCAAACAATAGCAGACCGATTGAATGCTAAGTCCATAAATAACCACACTCTAAAAAATGCTGGGTTGTTTTAACCTAATTTTGGGTCAAATATGGACAAACCCAAATGTTGGATTCAAAAATGCAATTAATAAATTTAACTCAACAGCTGGGTTTGTCCATATTTGACCCAAAATTGGTTTAAAACAACCCAGCATTTGAGTGTGCAGTGCTCCACTGTAACCCTCATAATTACAATTCGAGGAGTTACTTGTCATTTAAAAAAATAATTGTATATTTTGCCTTAAATGTGACCAGTGGACATACATTTAACATGAAGAATAATTGCAAACAATTACCCACTATGTGTAGGCCTATTTTTGATGTATTTAGTTTCTTTTATGTCTATTATCTCTTTAATAATTTTTTTTACTCTTATGTATTTCTATGTAGGTTTTTTTCTAATTGATTTAATGTAATCTGTAATCAGATATTTTGCTCTATTTTTCTCCATCTAATCTATTGTATCATTTGTATCTATTCCTCTTAAAGAACAAACATGTCTGGCCAAAAAAGGACTTGGCAGAAAGTCAAGATTAAATACAAGAATATTTTGCAGGCTGGTAAGTGACTTGTCTGCAGAGAACATGATGATATGTTTGCTGACATTTAATCGTTTGTGCTGATTTTAGCAATAAAAATATCTGGTATGGGGGTGGCCCTCCAACCCAAGACTTCACCACAGCAGAGGAGCTGGCCCTATAAAGGGAAGCCAGTGATTCCAATGGGTCTGCCCTATATCTCGGAAGACTCTTTCATGCCTGAATGCTCGTCTGAGTATTAAAACTTCCTCATCAACTACATCATCCAACAAAGGACAAGCCATTGTGAATAGGAAAAACAAATCTTTAGTCTATATATACTACATATTGACCTTGTTGTTACATGAAACCACATTTACGACTTAATGAGCCATTTCTTATCTCATCAACTGCAATAAAATAGCCTATAATTTTTTATCATTCAACTATACCTTTCTACTCTATATTTCCATAGATATACATAGGCTATATTCTATTTCTCATATTGTATAGTATAGTTCTTTTGCACTGTGTTGGCATTGTGAACAGCAAAGTTATAATTGCTCAGGAAAATCTGCTTTCCTCACTGCAGGTGTACGCCAATAAACGCTTTGAATCTCAAATAATATTCATCAAACCTCTGAAAGTGAAATGAACAGCAGTTTTTAATAATAACTAAAATAGCAGGAGCCTACGCATTCTTAGATGAATGGCAGTATATCTAGTATTTTAATGCAGGAGCATAAAGTAACTAAAACATTAATATCTAGTAGGATTTAGGGAGGAACTAGCCGATAAATCACTAGGATTAATCTTAGCCTGGTTGTTAGGACAACCAGGACTGCAAAGTGTAAATCTCCATAGTAACTTAATGTAGATTAATTCAGCCTCCATTCGTGCAACCGAGTCAGGGCTAAATTCAGCCAGGATAACTGGAAAATCCCAGCTTAATCCCTTATCTTGCTTTTGTGCAATACCTCCCTGTCTGCATTAATTCGAGTTATATTGTTAGTAAACGTTTGCATTGATACTTCTGACTGTTTGTCTTCTTCTGCCTGCACCACACCGTTACACTAAGCATATACTTGCATCAACTAATGGCTTGTTAATGCTTTATTGTGTCATGACTTTACTTGATAAGGAGGATCAGTAAAAATAAATGACAAACTTATCCTGTGCCTTTCAGTAATGTTTATGTGGAAGCTGCTGATGTCAATATTTTGAATTATGAACGCCATTAAAAAAATTACACCAGCCTAATCTCAGGAGCTGCTTTGAGTACGTTCATTGAGTACGCTCCCATTGAGTTTCCCTCCGCTGAAAACAAATGAAAACATATGCCAGGCGCGTGGAAAAACGGCCTAGTTTCAAGCGGGGCCTAGTTTCAAGGCCTAGTTTCAAGCGGGGGAGGGCGCATATTTGCATTTGAATGTTGTGTTACATTCTAAAACATTTAACGTGTGACGCACACACACAATGGAGAAACATTTTGATGGTATCATAACACGCTCACACAGGCCTTACATTCTGCTCTAAAACGAATTCCCCTTGTGGAATTAATAAAGTTGATTGAATTGAATTCTTAACATTAGACTACTTTGCGAAATTGCGATTCGATACATTCTTTTCAGTAGGCCCTAATACATTTTTGGGGCTGTAAATTCAGTATGCTATACCAACGCTATGTATTCAATTAAAGTTACAAGAGGTCTGATCTCTATAAGGTATTTTCTTCCAGAGGTCCGGACAATTATAAATAGGTTCTTTTTTTTTCTCTTTTTTTTTGTTATATGAATAATTCAACATGCCAGAATAAAACCCGATTTAAGAATATATATATATATATATATATATATATATATAAATGTAGCGGAGCGGAGCGGTAGATGATTCCAATAAGTTACTTTGCTTATGGTGATAATGGTCGACTACGCCACCCTGAATAATTCAGGGAATATCTAAATAACCCAGCAATTTGCATTAGGTCACACAGGTTCGTGTGTGTCAGGGAGGTCAGAGACCAGTGTACAACGTACTTACAAAAGGTCTTTTATTGACATACAAAAATAATTAAAAACAGTCTCTTCAGTTAAAACACAGGTGCACAGCACTCAATGCACAAATATCAAAGCACAAGACCAGGGGCCTCATGCATTAAAACTTTGCGTAGATTTCATCCTTAAAGTGTGCGTACGCACATAAGGCAGAATTTGCGTACGCACAAAAGTACGTCAGAACCTGCGCAGAATTCCCTTTATAAATCCCAGTCAGCGGGAGATTATGCGCACGTGCGTCTCCTCCCCGAAATAACCATATATGGAGATTACAACGCCTAGTTTTACTATGCATATCCTCATCTGCATATCATTTGCATATGGTTATTCAT